GAAAAACAATAAAAATTACGCAATTCAACATTACGAAATGCTACGCCTGTCCAAAAATGAGCGTCTGCGAGCCATTGGTATGCTTGAAGCAGGTTCGAGTCAACGTGATGTTGTTGGACAATTTAAGGTCCACAGAAACACCATTTGGTGTTTATGGCAACGTTGGCAACAGACGAATGCAGTCTGAGACCATCCTCGGAGTGGCAGGCCACGCGTAACCAATAATCGACAAGACAACTGGATTTGAACAACACAAGTACGAAATCAATTCCAGCCAGCAACAGTGACTGCAAGAAGCATCCCTGGCCTTCGACGATGATCTTCACAAACCGCACGTCGCCGCCTCAGATATGCAGGGAATGTCGCCAGAAGACCCGCCAGACGTCCCATTTTGACAGGAAACCACCGTCAAGCACGTCTACAGTGGTGCAGACAGTGTCTTTGCAGTGGGGACAAGTTCTATTCACTGACGAGTCTCGTTTTCACCTCAGCCACAGCGATGGACGGATTCGAGTACAACGACGTCGAGGTGAACGTTACGTCAATCATTGTGTCATGGAAGAAGATCGGTTCAGGGGCGGCAGCGTTATGGTATGGGATGGGATTACAGCAAGACAGAGGACCCGTTTCATAGTGGTATTGGGAAATCTCCATAGACAGCGCTACCGCGACGAGATCATCGGCCCTGTTGTTCCACCGTTTTTGCGTCGTCATGGCCCAGGCATTACCTTTCAACATAACAACGCCCGGCCTCATATTGCTCGGCTTGTTCAGGATTATCTTCAACAAAACAACGTGAATGCCATCTCCTGGCCGGCTCGCTCCCCTGATCTCTCACCAATCGAGCACATGTGGGATGAGATGGATCGGCGCCTTCGCCGTCAACCACGTGTTCCACAGACACTCCAGGAACTTCGAAACATGCTCCAGCAGATGTGGACAGATATCCCACGGGACTTTGTGCGACGCCTGGTCCATTCCATGAGACGAAGATGTATTGCTTGAATCGCAACCAGAGGTGGACACACACGCTATTGATTTGTAAATTGACATTTTGGTATGTTCTTGGGTTTTTTATGAAATCACGCATTTTCTGAAGTCAGGATGGCAAATTAAACCATTTGAACACTTACAGGAGTCTTTTATCTGTTGCAAACCGAAATTGTTTCATATTTGGTAAAAAACATAACTTTGCATTAAATCTTATTCAATGTCACAGGAACTTTTGTTGTTCAGAATAGTTCTACTCCCGGAAAAGGTGAATGGAAATTAATATTGATAGGAGTAACATATTGTTTTTAAAATGGATGGCCATTTATCAAGATATTAAAAAAATGGTATTTTAATTGATACTGTTACTGAACCTGTAAAAAACACTTTCTGAACAGTTTTTCTAAAGAATTGTGGCAAGTAAAGGCCCAGATCAGGAGACTAGGTTCGTTTTACCTACTTGATAAGAAAATTGTACCAATTGTAAATTTGTTATATGGTTGCGAAATCTGGGGCTATCAAAGAAGGGAAAGCATAGAAATTGCCCACCACAGGTTTTGTAATTTTTTGTTATATATTGGATATAGATAATCTAATGCTGTGGTCTATGGTGAATGCGGCAGAGTTCCTTTGTATACTACCTATTTTGTAAGATGTGTTAAATATTGGTTAAGACTGCTTCATATGAACTTATACAGATATCCACATAATTGTTGTCTTTTTTTATTAGCTTCTGTTAATAGGAAACGCCCCAATTGGGCCACACAAGTAAGAAATTTATTTATTCTCCTCCGGTTTTGGTATCGCATGGATTTCACAGGATGTTGGTGATCCAAGTTTGAAGAAAGTGTGTACAACTGTTCTTTGCAAGAATGACACGCATCCTTGGCCTCAAAGGGGCCCAGTCGTCTAAGGCGCCGCGATTCGCTGTGCAGAGTTGCGTCCCTTGGGCACGCCAGAAACCTATGATTGTGGGTTCGAATCCCGGTTCGCCCCGATTATGTTTCTAGGTTTGTCAGCACCATACCCGTGCTCGTGGGTTTCACCGAAGTGGTAAACGTCTGAGACCTGCATCACTTCGGGTTTTCCTCCCACATTAAGCTGACACGCCGCGATATAACTGGAATACTGTTAAAAGCGGCGTTAAACGCAACTCATTCACTCATATGTAACATAATACGTACTTGGCGAAAGGAACAGATTCTCCAGTCACTCACACAACACGACCAGTACCCCTCACTTGCACACTCGGTGCGGGGCATGCGGGACCATCAGAGATGGACGAGTATTGACGCCATACTTCATCACTAATTAACCTCTAAGTTTTGATGTCAACCCAAATGTAAAACAATGTAACAGGGAGCGGTATTAGTATAAGCCAGTTAGGCCTGAGGCCGTATTTATCAAACAACTTAAGTCATAAACAAAACTTAAGTCAGTTAAAAAAACTTAGTTTTCTTGTTTAGTGGAAAAACTTAAGTCATATTCAAAAGACTTTTTCATTTCAGTTGAATAAAAATATGTCTGAACGATGTTTTAAATAACGTTAAAACATTTTCGAGGAAAAACAACCATGTTTTGTTCAAGGTTTTTTGAAAGATATTCAGGAACTCTGTGCTCAACTGTGAGAAAAACTGTGAGTAGGCCCTGCAGGAAGCACGTGAAATGTGCCTTTCGCACGTGCACCTCGCACTTTGCCGATTGCGGTTATGAAACGCCGGGGCAAGTATACCAATCATTTTAGACCAACTCGAGCACATTTATCAAGCACCTAAATATTACTTGCCCATGTTGATGGGCCTATTATGAGCAAACGAAGCCTTGATCAAGAAAAGATTAATTTCTTTTATATATGTTCGTTTCGTTAAAGGAAAAGCTACAAAATCACAATTACTGTACAAATACCAGAATGCATTGAGTAACATTCTGTATAAAAATTGCAAAACACACATTTCGCAGTTCATAACCGGGTAAGCAATTCGTCCTGATGTTAGTAAATATTTAATTGTTAGTTGCCTTGGCAGAAGACTTCATTCGTTAGCCTTCAGTGCGGACTTCGCGGTTCGAATCCGGCTGGCGACAAACGGTTTTCATGAAATTGTTCTATCATCAAGATAAATGATAGGGGAAAAAAGAAATTCCGTCATTGCCAAGGGGTGTTTAACTAACAATTCAGTTAGTAAGACCACGGTCAAAGACAAAGGAGCCATGGCTTAACAATATTTAATGCAAACAAAGTGGAATACCCAGTTGGGCATAAACAAACTTCATGGAATAAAACCAAATAACACCAGATAATACCTACTTGGGTTGCCAGTCCAGTTCAATTTTGCGATGTCGCATTGGCCACAGTCTTTTTACCCATGAATTTTTATTGAAAGATGAGGATCCTCCGTTTTGTGTCGCTTGTGATGTGAAGATCACGGTCAAGCATATTTTCTTTGACTGTATAGAATTTTTTCTCTTCGGGATACCTGATATCATTCAACGTCTTCAAAGGATCTTTTTAATAATATCAATGCTCGTGTAATTCTATAAGAGAAACATAATTATTTGATAAATTTCGAATTTTGAATTGTGTCTTATTTGTGTGATGTTTTAATTGTTTTGGTTGGTTGGTTGGTTGTTTCTTTGTTTAACGCCGCACTCAGCAACATTCCAACTGTCGATAATCGAGTCTTGACCAGACCATCCAGGGATTGACATCATGAGCATCGATCCACTTAATTGGGATACGATGACATGTATCAACCAAGTCAGCGAGCCTGACCACCCGATCCCGTTAGTCGGCTCTTACGACAAGCATAGTTGCCTTTTACTGCAAGCAAGGGTTGCTGAAGACCTCTTCTACCGAGGATCTTCACGGGTGCCGCCCAAAAGAACAGAAAGTACATGGAGTATATTTGACAGTATAGTATCTTCGGTCAGTGTTGTTCATTCTTCTTACTGAAGGAAATGTTTTACTCTTATTTACTTAGGAACGTTTTCAAATTGTTATGGAATTTTGTGATAGACGGCTCTTTCAGTGGCACCAATCTGCTTTGTCACAGTCTCCGTGAAGCGCCAAGTGCAAAAACAAACATGTATGAAAGGAAAGAATTAAGTTAATGACCATACTGTCGGCACAGAGACATGTACAAAGTTGATCAAACAAAATCCGATATTAATGGTATTGCAGATGTCAATCATAGACAAAGAAGTGGCCATTAGATTGAAGTCTGTGTAACCCCGTATCTTGTGACGGCATATGTTTGCGCCGGCGACAATATATGCTAACGTTCACGGCACATATTGTCGGCATTCGTCGGAACAAAAACAAATGATAAAAAAACTTGGAGATAACGATGTTGTTTATGATGATGGTCATGTTGATTATAATGATCATCATTATTACATTCAAAGAAAACATGTTGGACTTGATTTTTATCCCACCGACGGGGGGATATATATATTCGTCAGTATGCCAATTTGTCTGTGGCATCTATCTCGAACGCTTTACAATTTAGCTTCACGAAACTCCATTCCCTTATTGATCACATAAAGCGCTGGTGTCTGTTGCTATTTGGAGATTTTCCAAAGTTGTATTTTGGAGAGTTCCATGGCAACTTTGAAAATTGACGAACAGTGTCATTTCTAAATGACCATGTGTATCTAAAACTATACAACCAAACATATCTCTTAAAATTACTTTAAAAAATTGTCTGCACTTGTTTTGCTGGTATTGATGCCTTTGAAATATTTAGCGTTTTTATAGTATTACTTTTTTAACCATTGCTGGGCGTGATCCAAAGTGTAGGCCTACATGACAACTTCATAACCTTGTGTGTCAGGTGATATACACACGCAGGGCATGTATATATGCCTTTGGATTCAGAGATGTATATTCCAAATGTTACTGTTTTTATTTGGAAACATAAGCATACAATAATATAGAGTAGAATGTTGTAGAAATTAAAATAAGTGAAACAGTATATATTTTAGTGTTTCATATGTACAGTAGATGAGGATATAAAAACAAGATTTCCCCACTATAAATATCTCTCCCCTAAATCTATTACATCATATATTGTGCAGAATAGTTTAATAAACATACTTAGCAAAATAGAAGTGGTGTTTAAATAAATGTCATATAGATAAACATATACAAAAGTACACACACATTACAAAGTTTTACAGATAAATATATACCATAACAGCAATCAATATATATCTAACTGGTTTTATAACTAGTGTACGAGGGATGGTCAGAAAGTTCTAAGCCTAACAAACAAAACCAATAATTGTGAAAATGTTTGAAATTGTATTTTGCAACATAATCTCCCTGTTTTCCACTACACTTCTCATATCAATAGTGATTTTTTTTCAATTTCAGTCAGTTAACAGTTTTTTCCCTCCGTACTCGCCAGCACACAAAGTCAGCGATCTAACCCTTCTTCTGGGAGCCGTGCCAACTTGTCAGAGGGGTCCACAAATTACAGTTCGTGATCTTCACTACCAGTCGTTTTAGTGGAAGCCTCGGTGGCTGAGTTGGTCAGATCGTTGACTTTTTGTGCTGGCGATTATGTGCCTCACTCTGGCAGTGTGGGTTCCAATCCTGAGCGTGAATCTGTACTTCGCTTTGAAAGTATTATCCAAAATATAACATTTGTTACATTTGACCTCTTTCTAAATGCCATTGTGTGTTCAAACTCAAACAATGTACTACACTGACTAGTTAACTTTGTTATGGCCCATAGATGAAAGTTAGTCAGGCTTATAACCTTATGACCAGCGCTAGTATCAGAGGTATGCTCCAACACTACCCATTTCATAAGACAAAACAATTGTGGTTTCTTGTCGCAGAATTATATGTTCAGTTCAATTTGTATTTAAAAAAAAAACAGTTATGAGATCATATCCATTCTTTTAGAAGTAACAATTTCATCTAATTACTGTAATCTGAAGGCCAATGAAAGTATAATGTACAGCTTCTTCCATAATGGTGTCCGCCTTAACAATATCCTGAGTCATTTAAAAATCAGTCATATCTATCTGCTTTCAAATCACTGCATCCCCGGCATATATCGTCGCCGGCGATAACATATGACGATTGGCGACAATACGTGCCGTGAACGTTGGCATATGTTGTCGTCAGCGACATAAAATTAATATACGCCAGGAGACAATATATGCCATAACACATCTGCTGACAATTGAAATGTTCTCCAATATAGAGATAGTTTTCACATTGCTGGTTCTTTATGCATCTGAATTGAATCTGGGAAGATTAGTGAAATAAAACACGAATATAAAGATAACATTTACCACAATGTCACGTCCTTACAAGTAACATTCTCAAACTTGAAGGAGCGCCTGTCTGATCTACATGGTGCAACAAGACATTACTGCGAGGGTATACGAAGATTATTAAGAGGGAACGCGAGTGTATAGAGAGGGAACGGTATAGATAATTTATTTTATCAATGAACTTCTGTTCTTATGTCCACTGTGTGGGTCAGGTATTTTGAGAAAAAAAGATTATTTAGTAATTTGAAGGAAATTGTAATAAAATAATGATAATTTTATGTCCATCTTATGAATTTAAGCTCTCTATCTGAGTGGTATTTAGGATAAAATATACATTCTGTCCATCACTAACCCCTCAATTCACAATTAGAAGATACCTTTAACTTAAGCAGGTGTCTGACAGAGAAATCTAGATTGAAAAGAAGAACATGTGTAGGATTGATATGTCATCCCTTTGAAAAAGGACGTATATCCGCAACTTTGTCCCGCTCGGGGATATCCACTAGTCCATTTGTCGTTGTTGTCCATGATGACGCCGTTAGTCCAGTAGAGTTGCCCGTCAGTGCTACTTCGGGTGATACCCACCAATAGCGAATTTGCAATGGACTTTCCTGAACTTCTCCTGTCTTTAACGAAAGAGAAAGAGCAATTTCACTCTCAAATGAACCCCTGTAGTTTATATTGATCAAGGCATAATGTAAATGCAAAAGATGGCAAGATGTGACAACCAGCCACGTTAACATAGACTTATGATAGCTCAAATCATTCACAAAGAAAGAAGTGAGTGAGTGAGTTTGGTTTAACGCCTCTTAAAACTCTATTTCAGGTGTCTAACGGCGTGTCAACTTGATGTTGGGGGAAAGGCAGAGGGGTAGTAGTGTGGTGCTGACAAAAATAGACACACAATCAAACCCACGATCATAGGTTTCTAAGGAATGACGCTTTTTCAACCATTCATCGACCTCAATCGACCATTCTTTAATCCAAAAAACGAAAATTTATAAAGTTTTGATTTTATTAGTGACCATTGAAACTAGATTGAAACAAACAAAATTAATTAAATCCGTTAATCAGGTACAGTAAGGTACGCTAAAGCTCTCAGATATCAATTCATGGAAACCTACCACATACTGTCTAGCAAGATACACGCTAGCCTACTCGAATAATACAATTTCTGACAAAACAGTAGCATTCCTGTATACTCACCATTTAGGAACTTCTTTACTGCGTCGAACCTTTCCTGTGTGTCCAGTGATGCCATATCACCTCCATTCTGTATGCATGTTGTGCGTGCGGCATTCCAGGATTTTGTGGTGCTATGGTATGTGTACGTGACTGGTCCCGTAACCGGAGCTGCCGTAGTTGTAGTGGTGGTGGTTGTGGTGGTAGGCGTTGTAGTTGTAGTTGTGGTGGTAGGTGTTGTAGTTGTAGTGGTGGTGATTGTGGTTGTTGCGGTAGATGTTGGAGTTGTAGTTGTGGTGGTAGGTGTTTTAGTTGTAGTTGTCGTGGTTGTAGTAGTGGGAAGTGTTGTAGTGGTGGTGGTTGTGGTGGTAGGCGTTGTAGTTGTAGTGGTGGTGGTTGTGGTGGTAGGTGTTGTTGTAGTGGTGGTGGTAGGTATTGTTGTTGTAGTGGTGGTGGTTGTGGTGTTAGGCGTTGAAGCAGCAGTTATTGGAGCAGCAGTTGTGGTTGGGGTTGTTTGATCTAAACAGAAATGTTTTTATTATAAACTTTTAAAAAAAAGTAGGGGATATTGGATTTACAAGATTTATGACACAGAAATTGTGAACCCAAAGAGGAAACAAATGACGGAAAGACATTAAGGGAACATTTGTAAATGTATTCCGCACCTTTGGTACTGCCGGTGAAGCACAGATTTTCCATACTAAAGGCAAAACCAAACCCAGGGTCAAACAGCAAAGTTGTCATGACATGAAAGCAAAGTCAATAACGGGTAACACCCCCCCCCCCCCCCCCCCCCTCTGTTAACGGCACAACTTGGGCTGCCAAGATGTTGTCCCGGTAGTACTGGCCTGTGACACGTCCGGCAACAACATGTAAGTTCGTTCTTCCAGCAGCAGTGATGCCTCCCCACACCATTACAGATCCACCACCAAATTGATCATGTCTAATGACGTTAACATCATGGAAACGTTCGTTTCGTCGACGCCACACCCTCCTACGCTTGTCCAGGAAGTCCACAGTGAACCTCGACTCATCTGAAAACATTACATTGTTCCAACGTCGATTTTCCCAGTGCTGACGATCCCGACACCAACGGCGTCTTCCCCTAATGTGATGATCTCTCAAACATGGAATGACACGAGGACGTCGGGCGTGTAAATGACCTCTGTGCAGTCGATTTCTGATCGTCTGGGCACTCACTCTCACACCAGGGTCTGCTTGTAGTCGAGCTCTAATCTGATTAGCCGTTATGACACGATTTCTCAAGGCTAAAGTACGGATAAATCGATCCTGTGCATGAGTTGTCGCCCTTGATCGACCCGAGCGTCGTCTATCGTTAACAGAATGTGTAGCACGATATTTGGCCCATAATCTGCTTATGACAGACTGTGAAACGTTCGTCGTCCGTGCCACAACGGTCTGTGTTGTGCCAACCTGTAGCATGCCAAGGGCACGTAACCTTTCATTTTGTGTAAGTCGGCGCATGTCAACCGTTTGGTAACTGAGTTCCAAAACAATTAAGCTGATGTTTCCACCTTCAAATTTCCTTCCACAGTGGGTATAACCTTCATATTCAAAGTCGTGCAAATCTGATGTTCAATCCCCATGATCATCACTAGCATCACGTGCAGATCCTGGGGTTGCCATTGTTGTGTTTGGGGGCCGAATTTCACTGGAAATGTTTCCTCTGTAAGGATCTATATTACTTTGTCTCGTAATCATTTGCATTTGTTACAAGTATGATCGCAAAATGAAATATCCCCTACTTTTTTTTAATGGTATATAATACTTCAGTGTAAAAGATTGAGTTTTCCGAAGTAAAGAAAAGTGATAATTCCATTGCAGTTAACATAACACTTGATATTTCACTGCAGTGAACATAACACTTGATATTTCACTGCAGTGAACATAACACTTGATATTTCACTGCAGTGAACATAACGCTTGATATTTAACTGCAGTGAGCATAACAATTTAACGAAGCTTTTTTCATACAAGAGTTACCTCCCCTTAAATTATCTCCCTTTGTGGTAAGTGTCATGTCATACACAAAGACTGAGTTTTCCGAAGTAAAGAAAAGTGATAATTCCATTGCAGTTAACATAACACTTGATATTTCACTGCAGTGAACATAACACTTGATATTTCACTGGAGTGAACATAACACTTGATATTTCACTGCAGTGAGCATAACAATTTGACGAAGCTATTGTCAGACAAGAGTTACCTCCCCTTAAATTGTCTCCCTTTGTCGTAATTGACATGTCATACCCAAAATGTTGACGTTCTTTTTACGTTAGGTCCACATTGACAAGGAAAAATAATGACCGACGGTCGTTTATGGAGTTAAAATCTTTTCTTGCCGTTTGTTATTCTCTCGAAAATGTTTCTTTAGAAACTGTATATTTCTCATTTCACTCGTCAATCGACACAGTTCGTTTCGCAAAGGGACATTTTTGTTACTTGACCAGCGTTTATTCTTTCGCTTCCAACAGCTATCGGTCTCCTAGTTTTCAAGAATATTTTTTGTAAAAGTTGATTTTGTATATAATCATACCTAAATGTATGATAAAGAATTTTCGCGACACTAAATATTTTTTGTTACTTTGTATATATTTTTAAGATTTTCCAAATATGAAAGTACTTTTTAAGTAGCAAATACAAGGGTTAGTGAACCGTCCCTGTGTTAGGTAGGTGTTCCTCAAAATGTTGTCAAATATGGACACACTTTATCTTAATGCCTATATTTAAATATGAAAGAGAAGAGACGGTTTCACTGGTCTCTTTTATTAGAAATTCTAGATCAGGTGGGTAAATCCGTGGAAGGGTTTTGGCTAAATTGCTACTTTGAACTGTATAAGATAATCGATATATCTGTATCGTCAGTTAAACATCTTGGCAAACGTCCCTGGTTGCCAATCCGAGCAAAAAGTCTGGCCCGTATGCATAGAGACACAAATCAGCAAGGAGTGGAACACAACTGTTGCCCATTGGGTTGCCTACTCTTTTCCTAAATGTCCAGTCCGCAGATTTTAAATAGTATTTCACAACGTGGTTCTAAGTAAACTTCAGATGCGATTTGCTTTCATTTTTGACAAATTGTCCTGAACAATTGAGAACAGAGATTGTTTCCACGTTTAGTGACAAATGCCCCATGGCCCAAGGAATTTTTCCCTTAATGCTGTCAATGCTACTGTCGAACCCAAACAAAATCCGAAATGTATTGACACCTCAGAAAAGAGGGCTTTTAGAGTTTTAAAATTCTATCTAACTTGTAAGATGGTTTGACGTTGGTCTATCAAAGAAAATTTTACAAAATTATGACACTTAACATTTCAAGCACAAAATCAAAGATTAATCAAGGAAAGACGAATGTGGTCTTTTGTTAATGATAATTATAAGGACCTATTCTGACTGGATATTCAGAAACTCATCAAATGATTAAGGATGTCAGATCAAAAGCTGGCGATGATCTGCATATATTTTGATTTTTTGTACATCACATTGACCGATAGACGAAAATCTGTTGATCACATTTCACAATGGTTCATGTTCCTTCAGGGGAGATGCATGAGCGTCACTGTCACACACCTGAGCATACTGAAACAAACCTGGAAAGTCCTGCCAGACTAATAACACATTATTTCATTGTTGTGAACCCTGAAAAAGTACATAAGGTAGGATATTTCCATGTTCCTTTCTCCAACAGAACAGAACTGCAAGAATTGTCAATGTACGTATATGTGCCCTATTCCTTTTCAAAAGATAATATTTTCTTATAAATATATGGCTAACTCACCAGCTTCAGTGCCACCCTTGGTCTTGTGATTAAACAAACAAATATCTCATGTACTGTTACAAGAAATTAATGTACCGTATTCATATGACAATTATATTTCATAATTGTTTTGTTTTGAAACAAATCACTTCATACACAAGAAAAATGTCCACATGACTTGTGTGTGTATGTGTTCATAAGAATCTTATCTATTTCTTTTTTTTAATGGAATACTAAACTTAAATAATGACATCAAATAGTTACTTATTCACATAAGTGATGTTCAGGCACAAGATAATAATTGTTAAATATAATATGTTTAAATTAAAGGTAATAATTGATGTTTCATCAGTTACACTGTGCTGATTCATTGACCAAGATTTAGTGTCAATACACATAATTATTGTGGAATAAAATAGCTACTAAATGTAAAAATATAACTTAATATTTAAGAAGATGTGAACAGCTGTAAATAATTAAACATGAACAAATCTATCATCAATACGCAATCATGGCGGTCTCAAGATTGATGGAATAAATTTTAAAATGCTCCGTGAAATTGTTCTAAATCCTGCTAGAATCGATAAATGTATTATAAAGGGGAAAATCTTTTAAAAAAAACATCCCACTTTAATTAGAAACAAACACTAAATATAAGTATGTAGTATATTTGTTGATATATACATCACGCACTTCCTTATATCCTATCATATTCTCCATCGCATAAATGCTATTTTGAAACGCGTTTTGTCACGCCTATTTTCGCGCACCTGTTGTGGAGGGTGATCATTGCAGACCGACGATATCTATAGACGTTTATTTGTTGTTTAACGCCGCACTCAGCAATGTTCCGGCTATATGACGGCGGTCTGTGAATAATCGAGTCTGGGCCAGACAATCCAGTGATTGATATCATTAGCATCGATCCACGCAATTGGGATCGATGACATGCATCAACCAAGTCAGCGAGCCTGACCACCCGATCCCGTTAGTCGCCTCTTACGACAAGCATAGTCGCCTTTAAGGGTAAGCATGGGTTGCTGGAGACCTATTCTATCCCGGATCTTCACGGGTCATATTGCTAGGGACACAATTATTATAGTGAAAACAAAATCATCACCGTGTACATCGCAGATTCATGAATCATATCCGTTGATATTCAACGTAACATCGAATGGTGATGCTTATATATCAGCAAAAGTTCAAATAAAAGATACCGAGAAACTTGCATGTAGCATGTTGATTCTTCGTCTACCATTTCCAGGTCACGGGAGCATGCAAGGTCAAACGGATTAAAATATACGCCAATTATAACTCGATAATCACTTTGTTATTCATACAAGTGGTGATTTCTGATAATATGTGTTGATTTGTATTTATTGTGTATGCAACAGGCGTAATATTTCAAAATGAACTGTAATTGTTTTGTAACGAAAGATTATCAGCAGACTACCCCTTTCAGTGACATCACACCCGATGACCTTTGCATTTACTGAAATATTGCTGTAAGAATTCAGGGTCTTTATTTTCGTTTTTCTCTCGTCAAATAAAACGGAAAATGACAAATGAAACATTCTTGGATTGAGAAGATCGTCAACTTTCGCCAAGGCATATATATGAAGGCAATGTAAACTTTGTTGATATTAAAATAGCAATAAGTTAGGCCGAAGTCCGGGGAAACGCGCCATTTTTGAATTTCGAACGTGACACGGTGTCATTAATTGTTTCCTGCAAATTTTATAACGGGACACGTTAGATTAACCCGAATGTTCGTATATCTGCAACTGACATGATGATCACGAAAATTGAAGTTTTTTTCTTTTTCACGTTTGGATAATATATTTACTGAAATGGTTCATAATTTACCATCGCGCTGTTATTTACCAATACAAAACATCGAATTTATACTCAATTAAAATTAAGATATCGGAGATATGATTATTAAAATAATTTTGCACAAATTTAGAAAGGTTCCTTACACCTTCAATAACGTAAGGCAGGCAAGTTCCCGAAAATTTACAAATTTTGTGTTTGCTTTGGTCTTAACCTTGGTATGAATGAAAACATCAGGAATTGTTTACTTGGTAATGTGTAGTTATCTATCAGGAATAAATGTGCAAGATATTTCTTCAATTGGCCCTTTAATGAAGCACTGACTGTTAGAAATTGTCCACCCTCTTTACAGTGCCTTAAGCTAAACCAATTCAGTATGCTAAAGCTTAAGAATGAAGTTGTTTCATTTTAATGTTCTTGAGTTATGGGACCC